GATATACACATGATTTTGTATTTATATAGATATATATTTATATAGAGAGAGAGAGAGAGAGAGAGAGAGAGAGAGAAAGAGATTTTTATAGATAGATTGATTTTTTTAATATTTTTATCTCAGATATTTCTTTTTCAAGACACTCCTCGATAAATTCGGCCCTTTTGCTAATTGTGCAACGACGCCAGCTACCGCTGCTGCACCAAAATCACCCAAACGGAATCATCGGCACAAGGCGATTTTTAATTTAAGTAACTTTTTTTATTAAAGCTAAAATTAAATACCTGCTTGTAAAAAATGATTAGTTCCGAAGTAAACAAAAATTTAAAGAATGAAATTAAAAAAGGTTACTGCTATGAAAAAAGCAATTTTTAATAACTATATTTCAAAGACTGTACTGTCACCCTTAAAACTTTAATTATGCTGTGATCAATAAATTTACTGTGGTTACAGAGCTACCCAGGTTCAACAAAGGAATTGCTTGAAACATTTAACATTTGCAACCAATTTTATTAAAACTCAAATTTTCAAACAAAAACACACTCTAAACATTTCCAAATGCTATCAAGTAGATATCACATATTTTCAAATTATACGTTACTTAAAGTTTAAAATTTATCAATACAAAATTATCTTTTCAATAAAATGCAATTAAAAATCTAAGGCACAATATTCTATTACTCCAAATCCAGAAAAAACAATTAAGAATAAAAGGCACACTTATCATGAAATCTACTAAAATCAATTTAAAAAAATATATAGATCACAATATTCTCTGAATCCGGTAAGCACGATTAAGAATAAAAGGCTTATCTTAAAATATATATCTTAAAATATAGTAGAAACAATGAAAAGTCAGGGTAAATTGTTCCTTTAAAACTGTACTAAAATCGAAATTAGCACTCCAACTTCTTAGGGCTTCCTTCTAGTAAGGCAATTAGCACTTGTGGGACAACAGACTTTCAGCATTGGGACGCTCTGTGGATAGGCAAATAGATTCGAACATAGCGGCTTCGGCTCAACCTTGCTCAAAACTCCCGCTCATCCACTCAGGGACTCTGGCCTAGTCCATTCTCCTCTCAGCCATTCTTCAGTTCTTCAGCTTCACCATCTTTTACTCTCCTTTCAGCAAAGGGAATGAATCTCGGACTGACCATGAGCTGCTTATCATCCCATGAGCTGCAGCACAACCAGTGAATATCACAACAACAAAAAAGTTCCATTATAAGAACAGTCACAAATTAAATAATACATTATAAAAGTGATAAGACAATCCTAATGAAATATAAATAAACTTAATTACACATAATTATACACTGAAATCCCAGTTTAAAAGGATAATTAAAATTTCTAATAAATATCACTATTGTGATTGAATTTCAAATTTATAATGGCGGTGCCACCTGAAGGCAAATCATATTATACACCATAAACACTCACAAGAATTCGAAAATAAGCAGAGCTAACCAGTGCAGTCATCTATTGATGAAATAAGCGAACTATTTCCGCTGAAAAAGTAACCCATCTTTAAAAGTATTGATCTAAAAAAATATAACAAATTTTTATTTATTAAAAAACAATTAAAAAAATTTACTTTAAAACTTGATTCCAAGCATTAAAAGTACTATGTTTGGCTTAATCTAAAAATGAAATTAAAATCTGCACATTTCATATAGTGTCTTCAATTGAATCTCTGATAGAGAACGCTATCATCGCCTGCGTTTTATAATACCAAGAAGTTTTAAGGCCTGGTTTCTTAGGACAGGACGCCGTCAGCTGGAAATCAGCGCTAACCTCTGATTGGTCCATTTGTGAGTTTGATAGTATACATCATCGAACGCTCATCTTGAACTACAATTGCCGTCCAAGTCAACTGCAGTTGGATTACAACGTGACGTCCCTTACGAAATTTTAAGGTATATTTAAGGTTGATTTGAGGTATTTTTGAGGTATTAAGGTTGTTTTGAGGTATATTTGAGGTATATTTAAGGTTGCAGAGAAAACAGCAATAAAAATTATACCTCGTAAATGTTGTAATTAAGGTGTGCGAGGTTGATTTATCTATACTTCAGCTTGTTTTGATGTTGTTTAAAATTCACNGTTCCATTATAAGAACAGTCACAAATTAAATAATACATTATAAAAGAGATAAAACAATACTAATTAAATATAAATAAACTTAATTACACATAATTATACACTAAAATCCCAGTTTAAAAGGATAATTAAAATTTCTAATAAATATCACTATTGTGATTGAATTTCAAATTTATAATGGTGGTGCCACCTGGAGGCAAATCATATTATACACCATAAACACTCACAAGAATTCGAAAATAAGCAGAGCTAACCAGTGCAGTCATCTATTGATGAAATAAGCGAACTATTTCCGCTGAAAAAGTAACCCATCTTTAAAAGTATTGATCTAAAAAAATATAATAAATTTCTACTTATTACAAAACAAAAAAAATTTACCTTAAAATTTGATTCCAAACATTAAAAAATACTATGTTTGGCTTAATCTAAAAATGAAATTAAAATCTGCACATTTCATATAGTGTCTTCAATTGAATCTCTGACAGAGAACGCTTTCATCGCCTGTGTTTTATAGTACCAAGAAGTACAACCTGTTACGTCTTGTACTAAACTTGTACGTCTTGTTTACATCCATTATAAGTAGAATTTGCGAAAACAAAATACCAATAAAAATTGTCAGATAAAACTTTAAAACTGTGAGGGGAAAACAAGCTTGTCTTTAAACATCATAACTTAAAGGGAGCAAAATAGGCGCAAATAAAATTTTTTTCTTCAAGCAAACCAGGCTGGGCATTTTCCTTCTAGTAGCATTTCTTCTTCTGAAGGTATATAATTTTCTACTTTCGGAATCACATCTTTTTCATCATTCGAAGGATGGTAATTTTCGTTTAGCTCTAAAGGTTTTAATTTACTGCTTGATTGAGTACCAATAATATCTTCTTTTATCACAATCAAGTTCTCGACTTCAGCTCTAGACTCCAAATCGCTATCTTCTGGATAATTTGTATCTTTTTGGGGAAGAATTTCTGTTTTATTAGCAGATCCATTGAGTATTTCTTCCTCGGTAGTGCGCGTAGCAGGCACGTACTTGTTTTGCTTCCATTCGGGAGATTTTCCTTCTATTTCCATTTTAACAGGATGAATAAATGGTATCAATTCTTTTTTTTCGAGTATTCTCAAAGTCATTTGTTCAAAAATCTGCAATTTTGTAAGAAAGGAAAATGAATATTTAACCTTTAGTTACCTTTGCATATATTCAAACGTAACGTACTAGGTGGGAAAAAAGGATATCACCTAGAATAATTTTTGTACTAATAATCGTATTTAGCAATTTTAACGGTTCCAGTAGGATCTGTGACCTCAAATATATGCTGACTAATCAGTAGCCGATATGCTAAGTAATTAGCAATAAAAGTTTTGAATCTGAGGCATAATTTTTTCTATACTATAGTAATATACGTATTTTTCTGATAAGAAATCTAAAGTTTAAACTATTTATGATGAGAGGGAGGGGATTCGAGGAAAATTTAAATTGATTATTTTTAAAGAAATAAATACCTAATGTAACTTACAAAGAGTTTAACTTCTGCAAACATAAGCTAAAAAATTCTTTTATAATTTGTCGTTGTTAGTCGATTACTAAAACTTTTTTTAATTACAAAATACAATGTTTCTTATTAAATCGTCAGCTAATTTCATTCTTATTTAGTAAAGAGATTTTAATAAAATATAACATTCTACGAAGATTTATAAAAACATATTTCTGATTGAATGTGGTTATACATCTGTTTTTATTTTTGCTGATTCATTCTATGGAGTGAACAATTATAATTATGTGCAATATAATAATGATCAGTATGCATTCATATATTTGGATTAATATATTTATAGATTACTCAATGTACATTTTAATAATTAAATGGCAAAAGCTAATATAAAGCTAATATAAAGATACTAGTTTTGTAAAAGAAAACTTTTGTTTCTTTGAATCAAACTTTTGTCACATCAGCAATGAATAGGCGATATATTTTATTGCTTGAAAGCTAACACGAGAAACAATTTAACTATCATTTACTTAAACTTCAGCAATGATAAGGAAAAACTGTGGAAAGCCACGTTTACCACCACACCATTGTACCACCAAATTACAATAATGTAGGATGTAAGGAAAAGTTCGACTAAAATATGCTCTAAAGTATACCATAAAATATATCTAGAATAAATTTTAAATCGACAAATAAAAGACACATTTTCATATAATTTCGAGTAGAATGGAAACGTTAACTTGTTCGAAATAATTGGTGTTGTATTTACTTTGATTTTATAATTTCATTGTAATTAGAAATAATTGGCATTGCATTACTTGAGGCTAAGGGTTATTTCCTCTCATTCGATATTGACGTTTCATATGTAACGGAATTTTTTGACCTCCTTAAAAGTGCTTTTTAAAGCTAACAGCCAAAACAAATTGTACTGCATTGTTTTTCCAGAAATTTGTGACTGAGTTATTATTATTTCAGTGTAAGAGTCTTTGTCCTTATCTTACATAAAACCTATTTTAATATCGCGTTAAGTAATAATATACAATGTATTATAATGTGTTGCAGGTAGTTCTGATCAAAATCGATTATCGTGTGAACCTAACTAATTTTTTTTTCACTTTTTAATTTATTTGAGAAAATACAACTTATTTAAGTTGCTTCACTATTTTAAAATTATATATTTTATGCAGTGTACTATAAAAACGAGGGATATTTCAGGTGGATCTTATAATTTTGTAACATACTGTATACTTTTTATGGTGTTTCGAAAAGTAATAATTCATTATATACCAATATACTCTATCATACTAACGAAAATAATTTAGTATAAATTAATTATACTGAATACTTCTAGAATAAGTTTTCCGCAAATATGCAAAAAAGTCAAATATCATATTGAACCTACATTAAAATAGCTAACATTCAGGAATTTTGGAAATGGAATAAAAGTCACATCTGAATTCGTATCTCATCGATTATATATACATTCTTCTAACAGAAAAATACAATCATGCAATCATAGTTGTATAAAGGTTAATTTAAATTTCCGAGTAAGTTTAAGAACTTGAATCACTTACAAATAGATATTACTTTAATATTCACATTCAAACTTTATGTGTGTATAACTCTTGTATATTCGATTATGTCAAATATAAATTGCGAAAAATTTTGCGAATGCTTAGACTGGAGGTAATTTATAAAAATTAAATTTTAAACAAAATCGTCTAGTCAAAATGAAAAAAAAAAAGAGAGAAGATAATGACTGATTGATGTAAACGATAGTGAAAAAGAGAGAAAAATTAGAGATAAACAAGATAAGAATGGAATTTTAGTTCAAGAAAAAAAAGTTTTCTGATGAAACGAGTGTGAGCGTTAAATAAAGTATTGTGAAAATTGCAACATTTGTTACGTTTGTTTAATTAGGAATGTTATAAAGAAAAATTTTCTTTTTTAAGAAACTTATATAATAATAATTTTTAATTACTTTAATTTTAAAGTTTCGAAACCCTAAATATTTCAAGAAGGCAATTGTAGTTGGCGAAATTGAATAATTTGGTGAATATAAAACGTATTTGGTGAATATAATGTGTCTAATCCTCTTAGTTTTGCTGCCATTTTTTCAGTTTCTTAAGTGCCTCACAAATTTAGTTTAAAATGAGACTATCGTATCAGATGTATGTACGTAGTGATGGTGAGAATCGTAAAATAAGTTTGTATGGAAGCTTGAATTAAATCTATAATGTCTTACTTCTTTAACATTTTCACCAGTCTTGGCACTGCATTCAAAAAATTTGAGATTTTCACTGTTGGCAAAATTTTGGCCTTCTTTAAAAAGTACTTCCCTTCTATGGAAAAGGTCAGATCGAGCACCAACTGTCAATTATAAAATATTTTCATTAAAAGAAACTTGAAATCTTAAGAAATATAGTCATAAAAATTTTTTTTTTCTGGGAACGTAACATTATTTTTGAGTTAATGCTCAATTCGTTAAATACGCAACTGTTCTTGAATTATATCAGTGGATACTCTAACATAATAGATAGTTCATTTTATAAAAATGAGATGGCGCGTAGGCAGCTGAGAAGTGGTGAGATTTCGACACGAGAAGTTGTCTTACCAAATTAATGCCTCCTCCTCAGTAATATATTCAAACCAAATATTTTCTCACCCAAATATATTTTTTATAAATGAAATTTCCAATGTCAATTTTAATATGTATCATCTAAATGCCACAGTGCACACATACGCATATTTTTTTCCCATTGAGATATCCAGAAATTTTTAAAGTTTCAAACATGAGCAATTTGTATCAATCCTAAGGGATGCAAACTGAGGATTGCGCTAATTCCATGGTCATAAACAACCCTTGCATTGCTCGGCAAAATATTTAAATTAGTATTTTTACTTCAGAAACCCTGCAATGTCCAATTTAAAACCTGATATGGGAAATCATAGCGAATTTGCATTTCACCAGTCTTGGCACTGCATTCAAAAAATTCGAGATTTTCACTTTTGGCAAAATTTTGGCCTTCTCTAAAAAGTACTTCCCTTCCATAGAAAAGGTCAGATCGAGCCCCAACTGTCAATTATAAAATATTTTCATTAAAAGAAACTTGAAATCTTAAGAAAAAAATTGTCATAAATAAAAAAAATTTTCTGGGAATATAACATTATTTTTGCGTTATTGCTCAATCCGTTAAATTCGTAATTCGTTAAATACGCAACTGTTCCTGAATTATATCAGTGGATACTCAAATGTCGTAGATGGTTCATTTTATAAAAATGGGATGGCGCGTAGGCAGCTGAGAAGTGGAGAGATTTCGACACGAGAAGTTGTCTTACGTTTTAAATCATGCGCATTTTGTATCAAGCCTAAGGGATACAAACTGAAGATTACGATCTCCATGGTCATAAACAACCCATGCATTACTCTGCAAACGATTCAAATTAGTATTTTTACTTCAGAAACCCTTTAATTTCCAAATAAAAACAGCTAGTAATATTTCAGTATAAATATTTATTTTAAAGCTATTGTTGTATTTATTTTAAAGTTGTAAAGCTAATGTAATATTTATTTTAAAGTTGTTCCTTATGCTACTTGCCAATATCAGCAAGGGATATCATCATACCAATATCATGGGAAATTATAGCGAATTTGCAAGATAGAGAATGCTTTTCTTGATTTTCAGTGGCACCCTTTGTTGCCAATGTTACGACTTAAGTCATACGAACACGTCACAGCCCGTTTTACAGGGGGAAACCAATTCATTCATACACAGATTGTAACTTAAACCTTAAACAGAGAACGCTCAATCTCCAATTCAGTACTTTTAGAGGTATTGATTTCTTGCAGGAACTTGGTAGACTTTGCGTTTCCGGCAGATTTAACGTGCACCAGTCAGTATTTGATGCAGTGGCGTATCTAGGGTATGGCAGGCATGGCTAGAGCCATGGGCGCATTATTTGAAAAAGGCGCAAAATCAACTGCAACGTTTCTTTCGTNATAGCTTCTGGAGTTAATTTCCTCATTTTCTCACGCCATTCTCGAAGTTTCTCAAAGGTACAAATGTCTGCAGTATCATAAACCAGAAGAATACCGCTTGCATTTCTAGTTGGTCTGGAAGAAAAAAAAATTTTAATATATTTGTCAGCATTATCAATAAAATTTTTTTTTTTTAATTGATGCTGTTTCTCTTTGAGGAGAAAAGCTTATTACTGAAGGATATTTACTTACTATTAAGGTAAATATAAAAATAAATTCAGGAAGTTTAGAAAAATAAAGGGACAAAGTAGGCATGCAAAAAGAATTAGTTGCAATAGTACGTTATTTAAATTGCTTTAGAGCTGCAAAATGGGATAATAGAGATGGTCTGGCAAACACCCCAGGATGGTCTGAAGACACGCCATCACAGTTTTGATCTTCAATAGAGAGGATGGCTCCCCACTTTGACAGCTCAGATATCTGTATGTGAAGTCGAGTACTTTGCGATGGAACAATTTAACGAGGATCGATCTCGCACTCCTTCATTCCCTTCGCTGACTGATCAGGGGTCACCCACCCACACTGACACATACTCACACCACTGGTTCATCGTCCACAGCCAGTGATGCTTTACCTTGGTGATCTGCTGGAAATTAAGTCTTACGAACAATTCATTGTAAGTTAGGAAAAGAATAAAAAATCGCAAAAGTGCACAGGGCCGCAAACGCAACCGCAAATTATACGTAAATAATAAAAAATTTTATAATGTCTTAAGGGTACTAACATTTGCAATATCAAAAATCTGAAGAATACCGTGTGGATTTTCCGACATTCTGGAAAGAAAATTTTTAAGTAGATTCTAACTGGATCATCAAAAGAGTTTTATTTTTTTCTTTCAGGAGAAGATTTTATTAAAGGATTTTAACTTATCAGTAAGGTAAATATCAATCAATGTTCCTGCTCCATCGAATTCTGGTAATTCAAGAAATTTTATTGAAATCTAACATCATCACTAACAATCTGGCAACAATCTTGTTTGTTATAAAGAGATTTGTAATAATAGTGGTAAGTTATAGAGAATTTTTTTAAAAATAATTTTGCATTATCTTTTTTAAATTTTCTTCTTTATATTCTAATAAAATTTGATATAAAGTAAGAAATAAAGTAAATGAGCAATTTAAATAACATTTTTCCCGAGTAAACTCTCATTGTGCGATGATATAAATTTACCAAAATCAGTTAAAGGGAAGATAAAAATTCTAAAAGTTTAAAATTAGTTTAAGACAGGAAAAGAATTAAGTAGAAATTATAATTTAAATTTAAACGGAACAACCCAGCTTAAAAAAGCATCAGATATCAGTATTTGATCAGGATGAAAGTGGTTAAAATTTTCAATTCAGCATAACTAATTGAGCAATTCTGAATCCTTGTGATCGCCCCCTACCACCCCTTAAAGTTTTTCCCAGTAATCCTGTATTCAACGAAGTTAGTCATGGTTATTAAAAATAAATATTAATTAAGTTACGACACAGTGATGATGTAAGTAAATAATACAATCAAATAAATTTTTTATTGGTAATGTAATATTTTGCAAAAAGTAAGCTTTACGTAACTCTAAAATGTAACAAAGTTTAATTAAAAATGAAATTTTTGAACTTACATTGGCACCAATGCACGAAATCTCTCATTGCCAGGATGAACCGCAAAAAACAAATGCACAGTTTTATCCTTTACCTTAAGTCGTTTAGTGTAGTTGCCCCCGTGGAATATCGGATTATAAATGTCTAAAATGATGATATACCCTTTAGTTGAAGTAAAACTTTAACTGACAAACATGAGTGAAATATAATCAGGTAAAAGTACCAACTATGTGCACTCCTAAGCATTTATTTTTTGAAAAAAAATCCTTCTTTCTAAATTTTACTTATCCTTTCTTCTTAAGTCATAACAAGAATCTATATTTTTGTGCAATGATATCACTACTTTTTGAAATATATAAGATCTTTAATAATGATGATATCATTAAATCTATTAGGCAAAGTAGAATGAGATGGACCGGGCATGTAGTGAGAATGAGCCCAGATCGAACAGCTTTAAGTCTTTAATGCAACCCCCTCCAATTAAAGGCCAAGAGGAAGGCCCAAAAAGAGATGGAAAGACTGTGTGGATGAGGATTTTGCCATCCTAAAAGTAAAGAACTGGAAATCAGTTGCTGGGGGAAAGACAGAATGGGAAAAGCTTCTGAGGAAGGCCCAAGCTCACAAAGGGCTGTCGTGCCAATGCTGATGATGATCGCTGGAATTTACAGTTAATATTATGGCAGAACAGCGTGAATGGCCCAATGCAAACTTACAAACTGCATTGTTACATACGGAACTTCTTGTGCACCCTACTTAGCAAAAACAATTAGCCATTGATGAGGGTGATAGTTTTCCCTTAGCCGCTGCTGTAATAATTAGAGACACTTATATGGATGACATTTTGTCAGGTAGTTCAGACTTTCAAGAATTTCAATTACTACAAGAACAGTTAGTAGACCTGTTTAAAAAGGCGGGTATNAAAAAACTTATATATCTATTTCTCACCGTTGACCAGCGAATGCAGCTGCAACGAAAAAAAAGGGGCCAAAATCCTCCCACGCAGGTGTCAGCTGAGGTCCCATCCGAAGAGATTGCGGAGATTGTATCAAGTTACCCTTGGTAAAGGAAAAGACTGGGGAAAATTTCTTTAAGGCAGTGCATGACTGAAAAAAAAGTAAAAAAACAGTAATAGACAATTATAGATAAATTACAATTGCATAATTAAAATATAAAACACAATAAATCTATAAAAGTTAATAATTAAAAAAATATGCAGTAAATAAACCTGTGCATTATAAATTGATAAATGATTTAAATATAAGCTGAACGTTAAATGAAGTTAAGAGCAATAACTCGTAAATAATAAATTAAGAGTTAAGATAATAAAAGTAAAGCAAATTAAGAAAACAAAATTAAAGCAAATTAAGAAAAAACAAAGTTAAAGCAAATATTAAAATAAACTTGTGATAATTAACATTATCACAATTGTCCTAGCAGAAGATAACAGAGAAAATAAGAATAGAGCTAAACCTTTGACGTAGAATAATTTACGGACATGAAATACAGCATGAAACACCGGTGTCGGCGTGAAAGGTAAAATCTTTCAAACACGGCTCATTTCCAAAGAATATTTTTTCAAATTTGCAGTTACTTAGATCTAAGAGAAACAGTTATTCTTCATTGAAATTTCTTTAATTCACAAAATAAATTAAGGATAAATTTTTGAAAAATACCAAAATATACTTTTGCTTGTGATTAAAGAATCAGAAAAAAATATATAAAAATGAATTTCAAATGCGTTAAAGGGTTAAAAACATAAGATAGTTACGATTCCGGTAGCAGAATTCCTCCAGCTCGGAAACGGGAGCTGCAGATTATCAGAGCATCTGCAGATTTTTTTTTCATCAATAGATTTAAAAAAAGTCAGATTTGAAAATTACTAAAAGAAGAAACAGGAAAAACCTTTTTTTTTAAAACCCTAAACGTACTCAATTACTGTTTGTTTCGAGTCCTTATAGCAATTTTAAGCCAATTTGTAGATATACAGGGTGTTTATAAAGTCCCAGACTCATTTTGATGTTTAATAACTCATAAAATAATAAAAATAGATTAAAATTAATAACATAAATGGTTAGATAGACTCAAAAAGTTTCATGACCCTTGTCAGTGAACTTCCAGGTGTGCCCCCTTCGTCGCAAGTCGATAGTCAATTTCAAGCCAGGTAGCGGCAAGCATGTCGGCATTTACAGAGGCTATTACGGTTGTAATTCTGGCTTTTAGGTCATCAATGTTCGACACGATCCTCCTGTAAACATTGTCCTTTATAAATCCCCAAAGAAAAAAGTCCAGCGGCGTTATA